CTAATAAATCTTAATTTTGAATAACCAGCAAGTAACAGAAGCAAGCTTTACTTATGCTACAGCTTATGCCAGTTTATCTCAAATTAGACCAAGACCAGAGAATTAAAAGTAAAATTTTACCTAATGACAATTGAGAAAATAGAAGTTAAAGTTCCTAAAAAATAACAATATCCATTAAATTGTAAAATAGTATTTACAGAATAACAAATACCTTGCCAATACTTTGTATCACATATCCAGTCTCCCTCATTAAGTTTTGTTGAAGAAATACTAGTCACCAAGAAGTTAGGATTACTGTGTTTTAGAATAAGACGAAGAGTTTTATGTGAAATAAAACTAAAGTTGTGTGTGTATACATTCTATGCTTCAGAATATAAGGGACAACTGGGTGGCTCAGTCGGTTAAGCATCTGCCTTCAGCTCAGGTCATGATCCCGGGGTCCTGGAATTGAGCCCCACATCGGGCTCCCTGCTCAGCAGGGACTCTGCTTCTCCCTCTCCCTCTGCCTGCCGCCCCCCCTGCTTGTGCACTCTCTCTCTCTGTCAAAGAAGTTAATAAAAAAATCTTAAAAAAAAAGACTATTTAGAAGATTTCAGGGAACAAAATTTGTTCTATCTATATTTTTGCAGTCTAGTTGCTGAAAAATGTCAACTTCAGTATGACTTCCCACTTCCAAACTCCACTTTCATTGTAATGTGCCTTGAGTCCAAACTTTCGAGACTATTGATTAAATAATTCTTAAGATGCTTTCTTATGCTTCTTTTAGTTGTCAGTCTGAACTCAGATTTGTGAGTATTCTAGTCACAAAATGAAGTGCATCTCCTAAGTAAAGCATTTAAATGACCTGTAATGAGGCATATAACCTGGTGAACACTGCAGTCACTCGATAAAGAGTGAGAATGATGATAAATTATAACAGTATAAATAGAGTTGTTAGAAGAGCCCTAGAAATACTATTAAAATAAGATTTGTGTATTAATGAGATAAGGAATCTTCAAAAAAACTCATTTGCAACTTTTTAAGCATAACTTTTTTTTTCCAATTTATTTATTTTAGAGAGAGTGAGTGAGAGCGAGTGGGGGGGGGGGGGCTGGGGAGAGGGAGAACGAGAGAATCTCAAGCAGACTCTCTACTGAGTGCGGAGCCCAAGACCATGACCCAAGCCAAAATCAAGAGTCGGAGGCTCAACTGACTGAGCCACCCAGGTGCCCCAAGCATAACTTTTGATATAGGCTAGTTTTGTCTTCTTCTTCTTCTTCTTCTTCTTTTTTTTTTTTTAAAGATTTTGTTTATTTATTTGACAGAGAGAGGCACAGTGAGAGAGGGAACACAAGCAGGGGGAGTGGGGGAGGGAGAAGCAGGCTTCCTGTGGAGCAGGGAGTCCGATGTGGGGCTCGATCCCAGGACCCTGGGACCATGACCTGAGCCAAAGGCAGAGGCTTAATGACAGAGCCACCCAGGCGCGACCTAGTTTTGTCTTCTAACACATGTGATACTGAGCTTTCAAAAAAGTCAATTGAGAGTAATGAGTGTGATTTTGACAATAGAAAACAAAAGAGCTTAGGTCAAAGCACAAAAATCTCACCCAAATGTAATTGTAATTACCGAAACAGTATTTCTCCCTTGTTTTGAAACTTCCCTAGAGTTTTTATTTATTGTACAATAATAGTTCATCCATTCCATTGAATTTTTTTAGATTTATATCAACTGTAACCTGTGATTTTTAAGTTTGCGTTATGAAGCCGTTTTTCCCCAGCTCTTCTCCTTGTTTTTTGTTGGTCCCTGTTCTTTTTTCTGATTTAGGCATATTGTCTCTCATGAGACAAATGCTTATAAGATAAACAAGACGCTGCTTGGTGAGTTACATGAATATGTTACAATTTCCCCAATTTTTCATGACTTGTATTGGTCAGTACCTTAAAAATAAAAATGGAATCTAATTTGAGAGATACATAGCCATAACATGGCTGAGGATTTCAATTTGTTCTTAAAAAGGTATGTTGACTCGGTTAAGAATTTCAGAAAAGGCCAGCACAGGTGGCTCATTATTTATGTAAACCTTCTGATAACAGATTTTTCTGATTTTTTCCCACAATATCAAATATTGATAAGTGGGAGGGAGAGAAGTTTCTTCAGTAAAGATTCTGAATCCACTTATTTAGTATGAGAGCATTCCCTGTAAATGTGTAGCCTCATGAGGTTTATTTCTCATAAGACTGACATGGAAAATCTTAGGCCTTAGGAAATGATTGCAGAGTAGTTTCTTCTGAATCCTTGAGATGGGTAAAAAGCAAGACTATTATGTTAAATAGTGGTATAAACTATAGTATTTTATAAATGAGGCTTAGTCAAGCTATTTGAAAGCATCGTGTGTATAATTACCTTCCTAACTTCCAAAGGGAAATATTGGTGTTCTTATTATGAATATTGTATTTCCTATGTCTATAGTTTGAAATTGTGTGTTTTTTTCAATCTTACCTTGAATAACTTTTGCCTTATGTTTTCTAAGTCTGTACTGTGTTTTTTAAGTTTATAATATGATTGCTTTTTTAAAAAGTAATTTTATGAGGGGAATGTTTTTTTATTAAAAAGAAAAAAAAAACTATGTTCAAAAAGCAAGTATGAGTGAAATAAATTATTTACTTTCAGTTTGGAAGAGGTGAATAAAAAGTGCTTGGCCAATACCGTACCATTAATCTATTCTCTTTTCTCCTTTCTCTCTGTACTTCTCTCTCTCCAATAGAAGTGGAACAAAAAGGTAATTAAATACCTTTCATAAATTATATACTATTTATAGGCTAAGTTATTTAACAGTTTAACATTTAAAATAATTTTGTATTAATTCTTATCTATTTTATGAAAATTTATTTACTACTTCTGCTGCTCAACTTCACTTTAACCTGTTGTGATGACCAGTGCTGGTTTGATCCTTTTATCCTAAAACAGTTTAATCATGTAAAATTTTCAACCGTGCATTTTCTTCCTCTTTACTTTTAAATAAGTAGTCAGAAAATCCAGTAGATAGTGATGGATAGTGATTGCTTTAGATTTGTTTTTATTTCTATACTAGATAATTTTCCATAGCTCTGGTGTGGTCTCCCCATTCCTTTAATTTTTAACTGTTGGTGGAAAAGGGGAGATGGTTTTCTGAAATACCTTCTAACAATTACTTTGGTAACCATGGGCTCATTATTAACCAACCTAAAGTTCATATACAATTTTGACAACAATGCCTATCCATTTTTTATAATTATAGTCATCATATTAGAAATTCTCCTAATCATCAATTTTATTGTTGAGTATAAATTGATGAAGGCCCTCTATCCTTGCTATGGAAGATTTTGGTGGTCAACTCTGCCCTTGAACTTTTCATTTCTACAAAAGTAAAACTTTGGACACTTTAGTAATGCACTTTCCTTTTTAATAACTTGCACATCCTCGCTGAGTATTATCTTAGATCCTTTTCCATTAGATCTAGGCTTAGAGTTGCCATTAAAGAACTAATGACTAATATCAAGAGAACAATACTTTAATCATTAAAATATGGTTCAACATCCAAATTCCTTGTGATTTCTTAATTTCTCCACCCGGTACCCTTCTAATCATTTCAAACATAACAGTGGACTGCATGATTATTTTTCAGTGCATTTGCTTTGCAAAAATACTAGAGCAGTGTTTCCCACAGCAGGTTCAGCAGAACACTACACTTTAAATAGGCTCTGTAGAAAGGGTTCCGTGATCAGATTAGTTTGTGAAATTTGTTCATCTTCCTTACTTCTGCCTTGGAGATTCACTGATGTACCAAAGCTATTAGAATCTCTGCCACAATTCTATTTAATGTGATGTTTCTTAAACATATGACTAAGCATCCCTGTTTTCTTTCTGTGTAACATCTAGTTATACCACTTGAAACAGGTGCTTCCTGTTTGGGAAGGGAAAGAGTTAAAATAATAAATATATTAATTTAATATTTTGTCCACTCTTTGGGACCACTCTTTGGGAAACATTGCTTTACAGCCCCTGCATTACAAGCCAGCCAAGGTTTCTTACCACTATTCACACAGTGTGCTACAGAATCATACTAAAAATGAAGTGAATCAGATAATTCCTGCCCATTTTCAATCTGAAGTATGAGCAGCAAAATATTGTAGCAAGTAATCTTGTTTTTTTAATGTTCTTCTCATGTAACAGTAAAAGGTACATGTTTTTAAGTTCCAATACTACTGTATTTAACAGGACATTTTTAACTGATTAAAATCTAGATCTTGGGTTCTCTTCTCTGTAACCTTTCGCCTTTTCTTCTTTCCTTATTCCTTCTTTCCCTTCTTTTTCTTCCTTTCTCTTTTTCCTCCCAGTATCCATCCATCACTCATTTTTAATTGTGTGGGTTGCATGCTCTGTGTGTGCTATATAGCAGCTTTAAGAATTTTGGGTTTTTTTGTTTGTTTTTTGTTTTTGTTTTGTTTTGTTTTGTTTTGCCAGAAGATTCAGTGGCCTGTATTACAGGGCTTTTCTTTTCCTTTATTATTATCCTTAATTACTATTGGATTTCTATTTATTTCTTAATGATAAGTTATCGAATGGCTAATGTCATCAGAGGGAAAACAATATATATATATTTAATTTCAAATAAGATACATAAAATATTATGTATAAACATTTGTATTTATTTTATGTCTATAGAATACATAGACATACATCACACCTGTATATCTATATCCAAAAATATTGTATCACATGTTTACAAAGGTAAAAATCAAGGGAAAACACAAGTACTCATTGAGAGGCCACATTTTTCAGCAAATGAAGTCAAAATGATTTTGAGCAAAAGTCAGAACTAATATGTAAGACACTTTGTGTACTCAGAAGAATGCAACAAAAGAATTAAGTGGTGGTGGGTATCTCTTATTAGAGTTACATTCCATTTGGTGAAAAATAAAAATCTCTGACAAAATATTAAATTAATATATTTATTATTTTAACTCTTTCCCTTCCAACAGTTTTTCTTTGTCCTGGACTACTAAAAGGAGTATACCAGAGTGAACATTTGTTTGAATCTGACCACCAATCTGGGGCATGGTGCAAAGACCCTCTACAGGCTTCTGACAAGATTTACTATATGCCCTGGACTCCCTACAGAACCGATACTCTGACTGAGTACTCATCCAAGGATGACTTCATTGCTGGAAGGCCAACTACAACCTACAAGCTTCCTCACAGGGTGGATGGCACAGGATTTGTAGTGTATGATGGAGCTTTGTTTTTCAACAAAGAGCGCACCAGGAACATAGTAAAATTTGATTTGCGGACTAGGATAAAGAGTGGAGAGGCGATCATAGCAAATGCCAATTACCATGATACCTCCCCTTACCGATGGGGAGGCAAATCTGACATAGACCTTGCAGTGGATGAAAATGGGCTCTGGGTAATCTATGCAACAGAACAAAATAATGGTAAAATTGTCATTAGTCAATTGAACCCTTACACCCTACGGATTGAAGGGACATGGGATACTGCATATGATAAAAGATCAGCTTCCAATGCATTTATGATTTGCGGGATTCTGTATGTGGTCAAATCTGTATATGAGGATGACGACAACGAGGCCACTGGGAATAAGATTGACTACATTTACAACACCGACCAAAGTAAGGATAGTTTGGTGGATGTACCCTTTCCCAATTCATACCAGTACATAGCAGCTGTGGATTACAACCCCAGGGACAACCTTCTCTACGTATGGAATAACTATCATGTCGTGAAATACTCTTTGGATTTTGGACCTCTGGATAGTAGATCAGGTAAGTTTGACTTTTGATGGTACTCAAGGGGGAGATATTTGCAGTTTGTTTTTTTTTTTATATGTATGATTAGACTTCCTCTGTTGTCCTTCTGGCCTGAATACCTGAAAACTGTTCATTGTCTTTTCAACCAAAAAATGTTGCCATTAAGTACTTTCAGCTGTAAGAATAAAGGTATAAGAAACTTTTTTCTCCCTTGTACAGCTAGTCTCCAATCTTAAGCCCTTCTCTGAAGGGCATTTTTATTATCAGCTGATTAGTTCTTTGTGTAGTGAAGTACACAAAAACCCTTACTAAAATAGAATGCCATCCTGTCTAATTAATTGTGACATGCCCTCAGAAGTGCTTTCCACTTGGAAAAATGTCAAGGGCTGCTTTGATATAATGCTTCAGGAGCCCAATGCCAATATATTCACTTTGCAGAGGGTGTCATATATGACCACCCTGTTGGGCACATTGTCAGTTTGAGTGTGCACGTGTCTGAGTGTACTAATTGATACATACAGACAAATGTTTATAACTGATGAATATAGAAAAAGATAGACCTCAGTTTTATAAGAAAAAAACAATGCAAAACACTGCTTTGAGTAAACCAGAGATAATCTTTAATTCCAATTTTTTTTTAAGATTTTATTTATTTGAGAGAAGGAGAGAAAGCATAAGTAGGGGGATGGAATAGAGGGAGAGGGAGAAGCAGACTTCCTACTGAGCAGGGAGCCTGACGTGGGGCTCGAACCCAGGCACCCCCCCAATTCTTTAAAATTGTCTTTTCCTCTCTAGGACATACCATTTCCTCTCTAGGACATACCATTTCCTCTTAATGTTGTTTAAAGATAGTTGTAATTTGCTTTATTATTTTAAATTTTTATTTATACAACTGAATAGAATTATCTAAGTTTAGAGGTTCAGTTATTTTAACTAGCAATAATGCTGTTCTTTATGATAAAGTATAATGGAAAACTAAGATACAGGTGTCTGAATTTTGATAGAAATATAGCAATTCAAAGATTACGTTTTGTGTCTTTCCGTACTTACATGTTAATATAACTTGTTTTCTGCGCTGCTCTTACCATGCTTTTACTAGCATGCCGTTCTGCTTCCTAACTTAGTTCATTACATACATCTTCTTCTAAAACTAGATTCTAAGTTCCATAGGGACACCAGTATGATAGATGGCATATATAAATTAAAGGCTCAGTAACTCTTTGTTGAATGAATGAGTGAATAGCCTTCCACTTCTTACTCTGATAGAATGAGAAATTAGTTGGCATTTTCTCTAATCTCTGAGAGGCCTTAGGCAGAGACAGCAGTGGCCAGCAATGCTAATGTTATGCCTAAGTGTGCAACAGCAGCAAAAGCAACTTCTCCTCACTAAATCCTCAAAATATCTCCTAGACCAAGTGCAGTACCTGGTTCACCGCTGTACAGGTAAGCTTTTCCAATTTGATGCACCCTTCAGTTGAAAACCTAAGCAAAAGTCAACAATCTGGAGTATTCTGGGAAGGCTTTTTTTGTTTTTTTTCCATAGCTGTGATATTCTTAAATTAAAATTTATATTTTATCAGTGAAAACTCTATGTGTGGTTCTTAGCCTCTTCTGACTTTTAAATTGCAATAGGACATAATTTTAATTGCCTGCAGATAACAACTCATCTTTTCTGGTTCATCAGTGAAGAAGAGACAGTAACATGTTTCAAGTTTTATTTACTGGAAACATTATACATTATTTTTATCTCTAATAATAAATAGGTTAAATTTAATTAGCTTTCCAGGTTTTGACTTGATGAATTGAAGCAAATTCTTAGTTTAGTTTTTTTTTTTTTTAAGATTTTATTTATTTATTTGACAGAGACACAGCGAGAGAGGGAACATCATCAGGGGGAGTGGGAGAGGGAGAAGCAGGCTTCCCGCCGAGCAGCGAGCCCGATGTGGGGCTCGATCCCAGGACCCTGGGATGATGACCTGAGCCGAAGGCAGACGCTTAACGACTGAGCCACCCAGGCGACCCCTTAGTTTAGTTTTTTAAATTATCCTGAAAGAGCAAGACAATACCATAGTCCCTAGTATTTAGAGACTTGACACAAAGATATTTCCAATGGATATTAATATACTTATATGTGTGTGTATATTTATATGATCAGTCATTGTGGACATAAGGAAAAGTACACCACTCATATAATTTTATGTGTTTATTTATGGGAGTTAAAATATTAAACCATCTTGGGGCGCCTGGGTGGCTCAGTCGTTAAGCGTTTGCCTTCTGCTCGGGTCATGGTCCCAGGGTCCTGGGATCGAGCCCCGCATCGGGCTTCCTGCTCCGCGGGAGGCCTGCTTCTCCCTCTCCCACTCCCCCTGCTTGTGTTCCCTCTCTAGCTGTCTCTGTCTCTCTGTCAAATAAATAAAATCTTTTAAAAAAAATATATTAAACCATCTTGCCCAAATACACTAGCATTCATTTTTGTTAAAAGGATGTTATTAAAGTGACAAACACTGAGAAATGGCAAAGTTCAGCTTTTGAAACAAATTCCTAAGAGTTGTCCCTCTCTTTAAACAACAATGAAGACCTCATCTGTTTTGCAGAGTAAGATTCCATATGTATTAAATTTGTAAATATAATCACAAGAAAAATCATCAATTTTCATGCATTAATGCTCAGATATAAAAGCCAGCATTTTGGTGTGGACTTAGTGGAGTTTAGAGGTGGAAAGAATAAGTGTAGAAGTAAATGTTATGCATTGTATGTGTGGATATGAGAATTTCAATTAGCATTAATAGAGGCTATTCATCTTATTCCTCACAAACAGTTTCAGCTGCGTGTTTTTCTTTAGTAAATTAGGTTGACATTTTTCAAAGAAATTGCCTTTAGTGAATTCTTATTATGGATCTTCTCATGAGTTTATGTACAGCCAACTTACTATAAATATGGGAGGTCAAAAAGGCTAATTCTGAGTTTGTAGATCTAAAGTGTATTTGCTGTTGCCATCTGTTGGAAGCAAGCTTTTTTGCTCTGATTTTCACTGAGTTCTAATCAATGGAAATTCACACTTCTGAAGTTCCAATGCAAAGGGGTATCTATGTTATACTTCTACTGAATATCACTTTTCTGCACATTAAAAAATCTGGGTGCTAGAAGTTAGGGGGCAAGTCTGTTTCTCTTGTACACATAAAAATCCCTTGGGGAAGCATACGCACCAGTAGCCTACTGCTCTGAAGGGAGCTTGGGAGTCTGAAGGACTTGGGTTTGAATTCTGCCTCCAGTGCTTGACTGTGGGCACGTTGCTCAGCTTCTTGGTCTTGGTTTTCTCAACTACAAAATGGAAAAAATAACCCAGTCTCTGAAAATTATTGTTAGATTTTAATGAGATGATATTTGTGGTAGGTATAACAAACTTAACCAAATAGCTACAGACCAGCTCTGCAAAAATTGTTCTCATCCACATTTTCTAAATGAGGAACTTAAGACACTATAGCTCGTATCACTCAAAAACCCCACAGCTATTGAAGTGCAACCCAACTCCAGATTCATGTTCCCTCCTATGACACTGGTCGTGGAAAGTGTGTTTACTGAGGCTGTGCCTCTAGATTCAGTCATTTGATGGAAGCGATCTCAGTCTCCCCATATGCCAGGCACTCTCTAGATGCTAATTTGTAGTTCTCACGGTACGATTACCATAGATTAGTGCTCTGAAAAGTTGTATCTGTTCTTCAACCATGAAATCGGATGTATTTTCTCTTTTTCACAAGAATCCATTTTAAATTTTGAAATGGCGAACTTTAAGAAGAATGACAAGGAAAACAGTGTCTCAGAAATAACCTAAAAGTAGTTTCAGAAATCAATGAACTTCAGTCCCTTACTTTTCCCAGGACCCATTTTCAAACTGCTAAGTGTCCTTCCTTTGTTGAGTTGGCTCAGCTGCAGGACATCGGTCTGTGTTCTTTTTCAAAGGAAACCATCCTGGGAATGGTACAGTCTGTGAAACAGGTTGTTTTCAACAATAGCTGAATAAACCAATTAATATTAATGCAATTTTTTAAACTTGTTTTCCAAATGTTCATTGTGAATTTTAAGTGAAGTTCCTCCTTGAAAAGTGCTTTAATGGGCCTGCTCCTCTGGGCCAAGTTTTAAAAAGCTTAAAATTTGTTCTCGTTTTTGTCTAAAAATTTTCGGAACTGTCATCATATATTTTGCATTACATTAAATGCAAGTTTGTCAGCATTTTCCGTAGTCCGCCAGTATGAAAGTAATGGAAAATGAACCCATATTGCTATTCACATAATAATTTATATTTGCAAATTTTGTAGAAGCAGTTTTTAATAATATCGTTCTATCTCACATGCTAAAGAACATACAAATGCAAAGAATTTCCAATTTATAAAAAGCTTTTGCTCCAGAACTAATGAGATTTTGATTCACGTTGAAATAATCTTGTTGATACTGTTTCAGTCATTTTTGTTTACGGGTCTATGTAGTGCCTGATACATAGTAGGTGCTCTGTCAAGATTTGTTGAATGATTTAAGAAATCAAAGAATGAATTATCAGAGAATAAGAATATCAGTCCCCAAATTTGTTTTATGGGGAATACATATATGCCTCTCAGGTAGTCCCCTTCACTGTTGGCCTCACACTTCTGTACTCTAGAAGTTTTGTGATTCATCCCAGTTATTCCCCACCCCCAACACCTACACTCAGCTTCTTCCCTTCTTCACTCCGATTGGAAAGAGCTTTGGTAACCTTAAGCAACTTTAGCAGGTGTTAGGGAGACTTGCCAAAGCACATTAACACCTAATGCACTTTCTTTCAGAAGTAATTAGAAGAAATTAAAGTCGGTAGTCTTACAATAGGGAAGAAAGTGAGCAACTGTTCAATGAATTTTATATTCTGAACATATTCTCAAATTTTTCAGTTGACGAATTCCAGGATTTTCTTCAAGTCCGAAAAAACGGAGCATGTGTTATATTCAGAAATGAATAATAATCGTATTCTGTTGAAAACATACTTT